CATTTGACGAAACGGACATTTCTGATCCGATACAATCTCATCACGATACATTGGTGGTCTCCCTTAGAGTGGCAAACTGCGAAGTCAAACGAATCCTCGTGGACAACGGGAGCACCGCGAATATTACCACCATGAAAACGTTGGAAGAACTAGGGGCCAAGGAGGAAGATATAACAGGTTCCAGGTCAAGCTTGGTCGGATTCAATGGAGAGCCGAGCAGAACCGTAGGTAATATTTCTTTACCTGTATATACCCATGGTCTAAGCATGCAGGTCAAATTCGACGTGGTCGAAAGCATACCAGCGTACAACATGATCTTGGGAACTCCCTGGTTGCATCAAATGGGAGCAATTCCATCGACTTATCATCAAATAATCAAGTTCCCAACGCCGTGGGGAGTACAAAGCATCAAGGGGGATCGACAATCAGCCAAATCCTGCTACCAAACGGCGATGAAGCCAACTGCGGACCAAACTGCCTCCAGGACCGCATAGCAATTAAAGGGTGGCCCCGCTCTGGTGGAAGATGACGACAAAACAGAAGAAGTTGCCATCGACTCAGAACGTCCAGAAAGGGTCATCCGCACCGGGAAAGACATACCAAAGCACCTCAAAGACGAACTGATAAACTTCCTCAAAGAACATAAGGACGTGTTTGCATGGAGCCACGACAACATGACAGGTATTGATCCTAATATCATAACTCACAGGTTAAACGTCAGCCCATTACACAAACCCGTCAGACAAAAAAGAAGACGCTTTGCAAAAGAAAGGAATGCCATTATAAACCAGGAAGTTGATACGCTGCTCCGAACCGGCAAGGTAAAGGAGATAAAGTATCCCGATTGGTTAGCTAATGTTGTTGTTGTTCAGAAAAAGAAAGGGCAGGAAGAAGGCAATCCAGTCAAATGGAGAGTCTGTGTGGACTTCACTGACCTGAACAAAGCGTGTCCCAAAGATTCATTCCCAATGCCACACATTGACGCTTTGGCTGACGCTACGGCCGGGCATGAAATGTTATCCTTCATGGACGCATTCAGTGGATACCATCAAATACAGCTTCACCCTGATGACCAAGAAAGCACAGCCTTCATCACTGAAACAGGTACGTATTGTTATATTGTTATGCCTTTTGGACTAAAAAATGCAGGCGCGACGTTTAAGAGACTAGTCACCTTAATGTTCAAAGATCTAATGGGGGACACCATGGAAGTTTATATCGACGACATGATCGTCAAATCAAAGAAAAAAGAGGATCATATCTATCATCTGACGGAACCCTTCAGAAGACTGAAAAAGTACAATCTGAAGATCAATCCAGCGAAATGTACTTTCGGAGTGACGTCAGGGGAATTTTTAGGATATATCGTCAGTGAACGAGGAATAGAGGCGAGCCCGGAACAAATACGAGCAATTATTGACATTGAACCTCCAAAATCCGTCAAAGATATCCAGAGGTTGACAGGACGAATTGCGGCTTTGAATCGTTTCATTTCAAAATCGTCAGACAGGTGCCATTTGTTTTATGACGTCTTGAGAAAAAACAAAAAATTTGAGTGGACAGACCGACACGAACAGGCGCTTCAACAATTAAAAGAATATATGATGTCGCCACCATTGCTCGCAAAGCCTAAAAATGACGAAGAGCTACAACTCTATCTGGCCGTTTCAGAGCACGCCGTCAGCGCAGTACTGACAAAAGAGGAGCAGGGGCAGCAAACTCCAGTCTATTACGTAAGTAAATCCCTAAATGGACCGGAATCCAGGTATGCTTTACTTGAGAAATTAGTTTTAGCTTTGATCGTTGCTTCGATTAAATTACGTCCTTATTTTTAATCACATACCATTTGTGTTAGAACTAACTATCCCATGAATGTAATCATGAGGAAACCGGAATTGACAGGTCGCATGGCTAAATGGTCGATTCAACTTGGAGCTTATGACATAAGATTCGAACCAAGAACAGCCTTGAAATCATAGTCACTTGCAGATTTTGTGGCAGACTTCAGTCCAAAGCTCCAAGAGGAAGCATAAAAAGAGATTTGCACTCTGATCGATGGATTCCCAAAGCAAAAATGGACATTGCACACTGACGGAGCGTCAAACCAAAATGGCATAGGTCTGGGCGTGATACTGAAGTCACCACAGGGGGACACCATGCTCCAAGCAGTACACTGCGATTTCACCGCTACGAACAATGAGGCAGAATACGAGGCGCTAATCGTCGGACTCACGTTGGCAAGGGACTTGGGCGTCAAAATCTTGGAGGTAAAATGTGATTCTTTACTGATAATCAATCAAACTAACGGTGTGTATGCAGCAAAGGACCCCAAGATGACATCTTATTTGCAAATTGTCCGAGAATTGATAACGGCATTCGACGAAATAACCCTTGAACAAGTCCCACGAGAGGAAAACACACAAGCTGACGCTCTGGCCGCCGTCAGATCATGTCTAGGGGCAGAAATCAATCGCAACATCCCCTATGTGCACTTGATGAGCCCATCAATTTACAGATCAGGGGTTGCCTCTACCATTAAGATCCCGGCACAAGACGACTGGACACAACAATACGTAGCATACTTAAAGCACAATACTCTCCCAGAGGACAGAAAAGAGGCCAAGGCTTTCCTATCCAAGGCAAGTAAGTTCTTACTAATTGATGATGTGCTATTTAAAAGATCTGTCGCAGGTCCACTCCAAAGATGTCTGGCACCGCAAGAAGCCGCCAAAGCATTGAAAAACCTTCATGAGGGGGAATGCGACAATCACGCAGCAGGACGAAGTCTGTCTAACAAAGCTCTTAGATTCGGTTATTACTGGCCGACCATGAGAGAAGATGCGACCACATTCACCCAAAGATGCAAGCCCTGTCAGATGCATGGACCAATTCGTCACCAGCCCTCCGAGACGCTTCATCCAGTTCTATCACCATGGCCCTTTATGAAGTGGGGCATGGATATTGTAGGAAAATTGCAAGAGGCATCGGGGCAGAAAGTATATATGCTAGCAATGACGGATTACTTTTCAAAATGGGTGGAGGCTGAGCCTTTTCGGCAGATACGAGATGACCAGGTGATTTCGTTTATTAAGAGAAATATCCTTTGCAGATTCGGCGTTCCGTCAGAAATCGTTTGTGACAACGGATCTCAGTTCATAAGTGCTAAAACCAGACGCTTTTGTGAGAAATACAACATCAAATTGGAAACGTCGACACCTAGGTACCCGCAGTCTAATGGGCAGGCCGAGTCTAGCAACAAGATTATCATTGCCAACTTAAAGAAAAGGCTTGAAAAGGCGCAAGGCCGATGGGCTGATGAATTGCCCTTAATACTCTGGGCAGACAGGACAACTCCGAAAAATGCAACCGGACAAACCCCATTCTCTCTGGTGCATGGCTGCGAAGCGGTCATTCCTGCTGAGATTGAAATACCTTCTTCGAGGTATGGACTCATGACTGAGGAATTGAACAATGTGGAGTTGGTGCACGACTTGGATACCATTGACGAGATCCGTGAACGAGCCAAGATCCGTTTGCAGACATATCAACAAATGGTAGCAAAAAGCTATAATAAAAATGTTCGGGCAAAGGTGTTTCAAAAGGGAGATTGGGTCTTGAGGAGAGCATTTGGCAATGAAGCAGCCGGAAAATTTAGTCCTAATTGGGAAGGACCTTACAGAATCATTGATGTCATCGGTCAGGGGTAGAGCTGTCAAACGGGCCAACTCGGCCCACCCCGACCCGACCCGTGACGGGTTATGGTCTATGTGGGTTGGGTCGGGCCAACCCGCTAATGACGGGTCAGAATTTCTACAACCCTAACCCAACCCACCTAACCCGTGGGTTAAACGGGTAGGCCCGCGCGGGCCAATATGTGAAAAAATATGTAACAAAAAAATTAAAAACAATTACCCGGAAGTATAAATTTATACTAGTAAGTAGTAACAGGGGAAATATAAAAAATCAAAATACTAAAAATTCAATACTTGTGAAGTCAAATTAAAAAAATATTAAATACTAGTTATACGAGAATTTGAAAACTATAAGAGGGTATGCGACAAAAATACTCATTGTATAAAAATAAAGATCTACATAAACCTTTTGGTTAATTATTTGTAAATAATGACTACTAATTCTTAAATACTGTATCGAACTTCACATAAAATATATGTTTCAACATTTTATTTGAATATTTATTATTGAAATAAATATTGTTTTTTCATGGTTGTAATTTTTTATTTGTAATTATAATAATATTGGTAGTAAAAGGATAATATTTAAGATAATAAAATTTAAAACTATATTTTTGTATATTGGCCCGCGGGCCAACCCGCAACCCGGTGGGCCAACCCACTTAAACCCACAACCCGCGTGGGTTGACCCGCGAAACCCTCGAACTAAATGGGTCAGAAATTTTCAACCCTAACCCACCAATAAATGGGTTTAAACGGGTCAGCCCGCGGGTTTCGGCCCATTTTGACGGCTCTAGGGGGCATACTGCCTGCAGTCAATCGATGGTAAACAAGTCCCTCGAAGTTGGAATGCGGTACATTTAAAGCGTTTTCACTTTTGACAAAAGTTTCTTTTGTTTTTTGCATTTCTATCCCTATTACTAAATAACTAACTTGGCCGTCGGAGGGCCGTTGGCTTAAGGCCAACGACCGACCCTGACGATAATTATAAATACAGGAAGGCACACAAAAATGGCCAAGTCGCAGGTAATTAGTCACAGTTCACATAATCTTAAATATAGTAAATACAATTCATCATTCACTAACTTGACCGTCGGAGGGCCGTTGGCCCCAAACCAACGGCCGATCCCAACGGAACGGTATCATCGCAGGACTATGACAGGTTATGATCAAAATACCAGGTGACCGAGTACCAGAACAACAGATAGAACATCAGATCTGCTCATGACAAAAACATCAACGTACAGGGGACATGAGGCTCATTATGGAGAAACCATGAATGAAGTTCCATGAAATCGAATAAGTTTTGGCCAAAACATAAAACACATATATATTCCTCTACGCACACATGGCAGGTTACATACGAAAACGACATATATAACAACACACACGTCAACATAAACGTAAGTCAGGTGACCAAAAGGAGTAGCAACGGAATCACCAAACAACATGGATTTGGCTTGGATAAACCACCAAGCACAATATCCATAAATCCACAGGAAAATATTAAAATTTCTAACAGGAAACCATGATGCAGGGGCAATAATGGCAGAGTGAGTCTTGGAAGCAAAAGCAAATGTTTAAAGACGAGAAAGTAAAGGGGAAGGGGTGCAGTTAGTTATCTCAGGAGCGTCTGGATTCAGCCTCGTTATCGGACTGGCCTACGTCAAAACCGTCTTCTCCAATCGGGGGATCCATCTCATCTTGAAGCTTTAACCAGGTAGCAACGTCCTGTTCCGCAGTCCAGTTTGACATCTCGCCTGCGAGGAATGAAGTCATCAGTTCACCTCTGGTTTTCCAAGCATAAAAACAGGCCGCGTCAGTAACCTCTTGTTTCTTTTTCCTCCCATACGCCTCCAACGACTTAATACGGGTTTTTAAAGTTGAAATTTGAGTTGTTAACATCGAATTATCACTACGGAGACTTTGGATCGTTCGAGCATCAACGTCAGCACGAGCGTGAAAACTTTTCTCCTTTCTTTTTAATTCGTCCACAGCCTTTTCCAGCAGAACCAACCTTTCTGCAGCAACAAGGCTAGCTTGAACACTCTGCCAGGTTAAAACAAATTTCTCTCGTCAAAAGAAGGATTAAATTTCTACAGGTACCGAGCATTTACAAAACGACGAGATACCTGGAAAGCAAAAGCCGAGGAAGCCAATGCCAGGCCAGCTGAGGACACATCCTTGAATACAACAGATGAGGAGGAGAGCAGGACTTGAGGCATTTCACTTCCCATCACAAGAGCATCCTTCAAACAACAAAAGTCACGAGAGAAAGAAGCATTCATCTTCTCACCAGAGTCAGGATTGGTGGTGGCACTCACTGGACGAGGAGGAGCAGATTTCATTTCTGTATTTGGGCATTGTGGAGTTTTGGAACAACCAGAGGCCAACTTAGATGGGACTTTCTTCTTTCTTGAAACCATGTTAAGAAGGTCGTAATCAGAAGGTATCGGCCGTGTGTTAGACGAAGAAACAGCTGCGGCAAAGGAAAATATATAAACATTCTAAATAAAGCAACATTTGACGAATAATTGAAATAGCTGAAACCAGTACCAGCGTGTTGTGCAGAACGTTTTGCTGGAAGAGAACAGGAATCCTGACCACCGGGAAACACCATCTGAAGAGGAACGAAAGCACTTGCATTTTCACCTCCACCCCTCGAAGTTTCTGATTCATGGTCTGAATCATCTACAGAGACCGCGCGTGAATCTTGGGCATCGTCAAGGACGTTCTGAATATTACGGCGAGAGCGCCTTAATCCAACGGACCGAGAATGGTCAGGAGTGGGAGACATACCTTCATTATCAACCACTAGATTCCCAAAGGTCCGTTCGGCAGTAGTTAAAGATAAAATTTTGACAGTCCTTCCTTCAGAGTCTGGACCATAGCTCAAGGGGATAGTCTTCCTATCTAAAGCAAAAGAAAAAACAACAACAGTGAAAACGATAATTTTGACGTATTGCAGACCAGCCATATAGCAACTAAATACATTTGAAATTCATATGTAAAACAAGGAGTTGTCAAGATACCTTTGTGTAAACTCTCTTCAAGAAATGCGTTGGCAATTTTACGAGCATGACTTGATTATTAAGTTGGCAAAGTGATTCTTTGATTTAAGGTATTTCATCTATTTTCCTTTAGACCAACATGGTGAGGGACTGGCAAAATAACCTTGGCAAAATAACCCCTACAATTAAGAGAGATGTAGCATCTAGGACAAAACTTTCTAAATTCAAATGAGAATCTATATTTTATGTCTATATATAAGGTCCGATTCCAATAAAAAATGGTCTTCGCACATAAAATGTTAACGAGTCCACTTTTAATAATATGAGGTTCACTATTACATTCAGATGATTTTTGTCATCCACTTTTGGTCAGTTACAATGCACTATTGCACACTGAAAGTTCACCTTTTGCAAAGACAAAAATTTTGATTTATTTACAACAATGTCAGCACGTTTTTTATTCACTTTAATGCATTTTTGATATATTTAGAGGCATTAGATCTTAGATCCATGCACCAGATTTGTGCTTACTTTTCACGGGAAGAAGACTTTTTATTTGATATAAATCTCTCTCTACGCCCACATACACATGGAAGCAATACTGCGCACAATATTCTTGCCTCACACCAGACCCATCCCGACCGTGTGGTCAACAACATCCCCACAATTTTTTTCTTCTCCCAGCTGTATGTTTATCTGCGTTCATTTCTCCAGTAATTGTATCGTCTCGCTCCCTTTCTCCTTCGTCTTCTGTGATAATCGTAATCTCTTCCTCCCAATCGTTTCATTTTCCATTCGACTGTAATTGTTTCTCCCTTCATTTCTCCAGTAACCCATCTACTCCACGTTTTGATTCACCAGGAAATTAATAAACCCTATGACGGGATATTGGACCCTGATCTACTCTTATGTTGGAAGTCCAATATATTAGCTCGTAAAGAATCCAATCAATCAGGCCCATTTCGGTCTATTTGGGTAGAAATGCACCCCTCCCCATTTTCCTATTTATAGAAGGATTTCCCTCCATCTTTGGGGACCTCTTCTTCTTCACTACCCCTTCTATCTAATTTAAATGTGTAATAGTTTAAAAATACGGCATATAATATTGGCTTATGCACTAATGTAATGATATAAATAAAGAGTGATTTAACATCGTATTCTTGAACAATTTAAAATGTACGGATAATTTTCTTAGATATAAGAATTTGAAATTATAGGTACAATAAGTAATAAAAATGGCATTGCCTATTTGAGTAGAAGTAAAGAAATATTACTAGAAGAATAGTTGATATTATTGTGATCGTGAGTTTAGTGAGCCGCCACAATATTCCTTTCTCTTTGGAGTCTTGGTATGAGTGGAGCACACGAGTAATAAAACATGAATACAATAATAATATCGAAAAAGATTATGACTTTAAGGAACTAATTTATTAAAGCTAATAACTAATAAACAATTAACGAACGTATAATGCATAATTTGTTTAAGCAATATAAATAGTAGAAAAAATTTCACTTTTGGTCTCGTGACTATTATACCACTTCCATATTTAGTCCCTTACTTTCAGATTGTCCACATTTAGTCTGTGATCATTATCCCCTCACCATCTCTCGTCCTTCCGGCCAAAACTCAGACAATTTTAATGCAGATTTTAGGTATGAAAAACCAAATTTAATGCAAAGACTGATATGAAAAACCCAACCTTATATAAAATTTAATGCAAAGACTGATTCTGAGGCTGATATGTGGACTAAATTTGCCAGAATTTTGGCCCGAAGGACGAGGGTGGTGAGAGGAGAATGGTCACGGACTAAATATGGACAATCTGAAAATAAGGGACTAAATGTGGAAGTGGTATAATAGTCATGGGACCAAAAGTGGAATTTTTCTAAACAATATTGAGCCGCAAGACATTTCGATTAAGTTGTATCACTCTATCAGGCTTCAGTTTAATGGTGTTTTTTTGAATAAAATACATATCAATACGTGCAGTACATGTATTATACATTTTAATCTTAAAGTACATGAATTTTTCAGAATTTTTGAAAAATTCACAAACGAGATTATTATACATGAATTATACGTTTGGGTGTATTATACGCGAATAAACTAACAAAGCTTTAGATTTCATTAATTGGTGCTTTTTGTATAGTGTGAGGAAAAACTGGAAAAAAGAGTGGCTTATATATTAGCACAAAAAGTTCTGTAGTTTTCATCCTTTTGTATTTCCATGTTTGAATTGAGTGTTCATATAGTTGTTACAAGTATTATACAAATTTGTGTTGAATGAGCATCAACATTGGCGCGATATGTGGGTATCAAGAGCGAAAATAATCGTGTTTTTTTTTTATTTTTCATATAGAAATTTCACTCGTGTGCAGATATACAAATCTCATTTATGTATATGCATTATTGTATGCTCATTTGAAATCTTTGTTATGCTCATTTTATGATGTTATACCAATGTTCATTTGAAACTCATTTGAGTATTATATAAAAACTCATTTCTATAATTGATCATGTAATGTAATGATTACATGCATATGAGAATATTATTAAATTCTTTTACTAAATTATCACAATGAGATTTATCAATGTGATACACTGATACATAACAAGTTTACTAGTTTTTTTTATATAATTCGTTATTCTTGACTTAAAAGTTTATTGTGCTTGTTTTATAGTATTTCATCCATGCACACTTGTTTTAAACACTACTCATTTTAGTATAGCACAAAACTAATTTCATTTTTTTTTACTCCAGCGGACGTCCGGGGAAGGGGGTCTGGGGGACCTGGAGTAATCAGGGTTGAAACTCTTTTTAAATAATTAGATTAATTATCTTAACTAAGTTGTAATAGATAACATCTTTTAAAAATAACATTTTAACCATTGTACAAATTCGTATAATAAATATTTGTGAATAATAATACTCAATCTATATTAACACAGTACACACTGTAAAACTAATAATGCTCATCTTAGTGTAATAACGTTTCAGCACATTTTTTTAACAATATATAAAATTACAAAAACTCTAGTATTTAATTCTTTGAACATAAAATTAAATATAGAAAATTAAAAACAAAATCATAAATTTATTAAAGATATAGAAGTGGCAAAAAACAACTTAAATATATTCAATATAAAGAACTACTACAACAACATTCAAGCCTTAGTTCCAAAAGATTTTGGAGTCAACTAAAATATAAAGAACTACTACGCAAAATAAATTATACATATATAGTCGGTATTTTGTTCAATCTGTAACAAATATAGACATACACTCAAGAAATGAATGCTCACATAGGATTTTTTCTGAAAACTTGGTGGGCATTCATATTTAGGAGACGATTTAGAGATGAAGATGTTTTTAATCAAAGTATCATTCCATTTCTATTAGAACTCAAATGAATAAAATTTGTATAGTTGTACGTTGATAATTATTGAAAGAAAAACTAAATGAAAAGAAGCAAAACGGAGAAGTGCAGAAGTTTCAATCGAGAGAGAAAACAGATATCAAGGATATAGAATAATTGAGCTTAAAGTTATAAACAATTGTTGGGTGTGTTTCGGAAAAAACGAAGAAATATTAATTAAATAAAATTAATTAATAAACAAAATAGCTAAAAGCAAACATAAAATAAGATGAAGCAGATTTTAGTCAGAGCTCGTGCTACGCACGATGTTCTTAAAACGTATTTGTCGCCTCCCACGGTGCTAGGAGCGTTGCAACGACCGTTTCTCAGGATACGGTGGCTAACGAACGATCGTTTGAGCACACAAACGAAAGTTCCGGTGAACTGGAACACAGTAAGAACACTTAGGAAAATTGGGAGTAGCTGGAAGTGTTTTTCGCTCAAGAAAATGTGAGGATTGTATTGTGTGTTGTGTCTTGTTGCAAACCACCTGCCAGCTATTTATAGGAGGATTTTTTGTTTGTTAAATGGGGTGTTAATGGACCTGAACATTGGACATCAATGACCAGTCCGTTGAGCATTGAATCGTCCATAAACTGTCCATTTAACGCAGCATTAAAAGAAAAGAACGTTGGGCATTTATTGCTGTAACGGACCAGAAGACCTTCTGTTGCGAACAGAAAGCCTCGAGCGTCTCTGTTGCGAACAGAAGGCCTCGAGGGTCTCTGTTGCGAACAGAAGACCTCGACCGTCTCTGTTGCGAACAGAAGACCTCAGCTCGAGGGTTTCTTGTTGCGGACAGAACTCGAGCATCTCTGTTCCAGACAGAACTCGACCCCTTCTGTCACTGGGAAAAATTCTACTCTTCTTAGTTGAACTCTGACGAGACTCCGGCGAACTCCGGAGAAACTCCGGCGAACTCTAGAAAAACTTGAGTCAAGCTCCTAATATGGTTTTATCATCACAAAACCCATATTAACACAAATAACCTCTAAAAGGTTATTTTCCGGTGAACCGGTCGTTTCGATTTCTAAGTTCATTCTTGGACTTAGAACTACCTTCCAACCCCTCATTCTACACTTCTAAACATGTAGAACAATCCTAGGGGTCCTTCATATGCTATATAAGCTATATGACAAGTGAAAAGTAGAGGAAAAGTTATTATCAAGTTATTACCTTAATGCTTCACACTTTTCCTAACTTTTTCCTTCTTAAATCCTCCTCTTTGGACCACTATAGCTTGAGCTTGAATTTGGGTGTGAAAATGGTGAGTTGCAGAGCTTCCTCTTGCTATCTAGGTGTGCTTGGGCGGATGAATGGAGATGGTGAAAGGAGAGAGGTGGGTTTTGTCTCATTTAGAAAAATGAGTGAGGTGGAGGTCCACCTTTGGTCCTTTCTCACCCAATAATCACCCTCAGTCCCCCTTCTCATTATTCAAAGCATCCCTTGACAATCTCAACACCCAAAAACGTGGGGTGGCCCCCACTCACGTGGGAGGTCATCCCTTTGTATCCCGAAATGTACAATCGGTCCCGAAAGTTGTATTTTTCGGACTGTTTTAATTATATTTTATTTTATCGGGTCAAATAAAATATATTATGTGTTTCCTATCATTATGGACTCTTAGAATGAATATTCATTCCTCATCTTTAATTTAGAAGTCTCCGAAATCCGTTTTGGGCTGTTATCTGATAAATTACCAATACCGGTAATTGAGCCTCGTTTGACCAACAGGTCAATCCTATGCCCTTCCTATAGCCCAAATAAAATATCCACCACCATATAAACATTATCTAGATCAATATGAATATAATATGTGGTCTCGGGATTATTGGGTGGTTCCCGCTCCCGATGCGGGCCCCGCGTGCAATTCACTATTCACCCAAAAGTAATAACAAAAATTTTACAACCCTGTAAATTCATAAGTCATTATTCAAGGTTCATTACATGATTTACTAAAGGTAAATATATTTGGGGACGGTGGTACAGATCAAGCAAGGAGGTAAATGGGCTAGGTGGTAACCAAATGGTAAAGGCCCAAGTCCCGGGTAAATTGGAGAAGAAGGCCAAGGCCCATAGGGCCAATACCTCTCACAAGTTCCATTGCTCTAGGTAAACTGGCAGACATAAATCGGGATTGTAACCGCTCCCATATACTAAGTGAATGTTTAATATCATGAACATCAATTAATACTTCACGGGATAAAGTAGCAAACAACCGGGAACGTATTGTTTGATCTACTCGAAGCCAATGATAATAATCAGTATTAACGACTTGATGATTATTAAAATCCACTGTGTATAAGGGAGGTACCTGGATTGAGCCGTTTAAAATACCAAAAAGACCCTGGGACACCAGAAACGATTCAAATTGAGTGCGTCATGTAAGATAGTCTTCAACTGCTTTGAGTTTGATTGTAACAATCTGGCCAACGTTGGCAATCCCATGAGACACAACTTGTGCCATGTCTGCCATAGGAGAGCCAAAAAGAGTATAATGTTGTAGCTGAATTACTCCCGGGAAGCCGGCAAAAGAGGGACCGCAGAATGGAGAAGGCGGTGGTGTTGTCGGCGGCGGAGGAACACTGACGGGGGAATTGAGTGCCGCACAGTCTGCCATGGGAATTGGGGCGGTGATAAGTCCGTATTTAGACACGCATTTGATGCATGTTCAGGTTGGATTTTGATGGTTTTCCTAACTTTAAGGTGTTGCAAGTCTCATTTTTAGCTCAAGTTGCGATTATCAGGCGTTGGGACGAGTTCTTTGCATTTGGAATCGAATTGAAGAAGTTAGAGACCGGCAATCAGCGTTTGAGAGGCATTCGGGAAGGATTTGAAGGCATTCAAAGGAGATTTGAGAGATTTGGAGGTCATCGGGAGATTCACGACGAAATTCTGATGAAGAACAAGTATTTGATTGACCTCGTATGCATCCAGGAGCATTTGGAACAAGAAAACGAAGATTTAGTGAAGAATAAGGTCACGCACGGTCGTGCCCGGCGTTAGGCACGCCGTGCATGCCTTGTTTAAAGCAGCAAAGTTACTGGAGGCCAGGCACGCCATGCCTGAAGTGAAACGAAGGAACAAAGCTTGTGGAGGCCAGGCACGGTCGTGCTTGGACGCGTTTAGCGGATCTCTTTCGCAGGCACGGTCGCAGGAGAGCTATCATAAGTCATATCAGATGACTTACTGGATGCCAAACCCCGTTTTATCCTAATTCAGCTCAAATTGCTTTGTTTCCTTTAAATACCACCCCCATAACCCTAATTAAGGGGGGATGGAACTTTAGAGAGAGATTAAGGACGAGATTAGAGAGCTTTTCAGCCAGGTTTATCAATTCCTTAACATTCTTTGTAAATTCCTACTTTTTGATTAATGAAAATTAATTCTATTTATCCCAATTCTATTGATTCTTCAATTATGAATAGTGAGTAGTTTTAATTAGGGATTTGGGGTTGATGAAGGGGTCAATCATGATGTACGGTTAGGTTCTTGATGGTGTAAATTGCATGAATGTCGTTTAATTTGTGTTTGAATAATTTAATTGATATCTTTTGTAACCTAGAATGGCCACTAGAATTACAATTGCATATAGAATAAATTAAGAGAGATCTAATTTGTTCTAGGACACATTCACACACACTTAATCGTTCGCTAAGAGATTAGTAGCGATTAAGGGGCCGTAAGCTCGTTCGTCTTGGCAATAATTTAGGATCTTGTCGCATGAGAGATCAGTCTGGTCCCCTAAATTATTGTACTCTACGCCGCGAGAGCGGTAAGAACTTAGTATTGATTAGCTAGGCTCAATTAAATTAAATTCATGTAATTAAGCCTGATCTGCCAGAAATCTGATTACCCCGGAATCAATCCCTGTTCCCTTTGTCGTTAATTAAGAAGAACCCAAATATTTACTTTTAGTCATTTATTTGCAATTTTAGTTTTCTCAAGCAACCAATTCTCGCACGACCGCATTTGTTTTATTTATTCTTTATCGCTGATTTTAGTTAATTGTTAATTCCCTTTTACCGTCTCTGTGGAGACGATACTCGTACTTTCACTGCTATATTACAATCTTTTTAAGTCCGAGAAAACTCACATCAGGCGGCAGCGAGTTGAAGAGAGATTAGGGTTGTGCCGTAGTATATGGCGAGAAGGAAGAGGTAACCATGTGATCCAAGGGAGGCGGCGGTCTGGGGATGAGTCCCACCGTAGGAGAGATAATCGGCTAGGAAGCTGGAGACGAGCCAGATACTGTAGAGTACTGGCTGACGTCCTGCGTAGAAGTGTGCAGCGGCTGCGTGTTCGTGGTGGTCTGCGGCGCCGAGGAGTGGAGGTCCTCGACATGACGGCGGCGATGTGGATCATGGAAGAGAAAAAAATAGGATTTTCTTTTAAGCTCTTGATACCATGTGAGAATTAATGGGAAAGGTATTCCAATAGGAGTCCTGACAGATATATTTATATAGAAAAGTTGAGACATACAAGGAAACAAGTATCCTAATAATATTCTATTAGATATACCATGTACATCTAAACAATTGAGTCACATCATTCAAAGTATTGTTCTAAGTGTTAATTGGAATGTATGTTTTTAACTAATTAGAGTCTACAAACGTTAGAAAGTTCACATTCCCATAAAAATGAAGTTGTTGTGAAATGAAGAAAATATAGAGTAGATATATTGAAAGAGATAGATAATAGATCTTTATATATTCTTCTTAATCTGAATTTTTACCAATGGTTTTACAAAATTTTGGCAAGACCCTATTTATAGTAGTTGGGTTTGAGGATGATCATCAAACAATGATTCTACCGACTTATCTATAACTTTTAAGGAAGAACAATTCACACTTGTAATTCTTTCATTTTGCAACACCCTCCTCCCCTTGAATGTTTATTCTTGAATATGTATATTGTTATGTTAAAAAAATCTATTATGAAAATTTTAGTGTGAAAATTCAAATTTAAGGGGTAACAATTACAACATATAATGTCGTTTGTTTTGGGCGTATAGTCTCGTTAAAAATCTTATCAGGAAAAACCTTGTGGGATACAAACTTGGTGAAGATAAAAAGAGTATAGTGCATTGAAATACTTCCTCTGAACTTAGCATAAAATTTTCATTATACAAAGGTGTCGCATGCCTATTTTTCATTAGCCAGCCAACCCGATGAATAATTAAATAATTCCGGACCGATTTACGCTGGCAAGACTGTGTTCAGAGTTTATTTGAATGTTTCTGGTATGATATGAATATTTCTAATCTTATCTTAATCTTTCTGACCTGATATGGTCTGGATCTTTCTGATTAAAATACTTATTGTTGAATCAAGATTTAAAGAAGCTATAACTCCTATAAGAATAATAATAAAAATTTAGAAATTGCTCTAAATAGGAGCAAAAACGTTTTGAAATTCCAAAATAGAGGTATCATGTTTTTTATTCCTTGGATAGGAGTAATATGCCAAGTTTGGGGAAAAATGCCATGAATAGGTCATGTAATCTGCCAAACTTGGTAGAAATTTACTCTTATTCAAGGAATAAAAAACATGATACTCCTATTTAAGAATTTTAAAACTTTTTTACTCCTATTTAGGGAATTCTCCCATAAAAATTCTATTTGTGTAGTTTTTTGTATATTTTTTACATTCATTTGTGTTTAGACAATTTATCTAAAAAGTGTTTATTTAAAACAAATTAAGTGTCTAGAAAAGGTGAAAAGCTGTTTATAATATGTTTTTTAGAAATTACCCTAAATAGGAGCAAAAACGTTTTGAAATTCCAAAATAGACGTATCATATTTTTTATTCCATGAACATGAGTAATCTGCCAAGTTTGGAAGAAAATGCCATGTTTAAAGCCTAGTAATGCCATGTTTGGCAGAATTTTACTCCTATTTAGGAAATAAGGATGTTTTTACTTGGACTGTAATTTGCTGGTCTGGTCTGATCTGGTCTGGTCTGGTCTGAACTGGTCTGGTCTGGTCTGGTTTCTTTGTATTTTTATAACTATCCAAGTCTGGTCTGGTCTGGTCTGTTATGGTCTGGTCTGGTCTGGTCTGGTCTGGGACGAATTACAGTCCAAGTAAAAACATCATAAAAAACATGATACTCCTGTTTTGGAATTTCAAAACTTTTTTACTCTTATTTAGAAAATTCTCTCTATATTTTATAGCTTTTAAATGTTCAATTTAAATAGAAACTATCACTTTGAAAACCACTCATTTAAAACACTTGAAAGTGGCATTGTTTGGCAAAAGTATGACATGATATCATCTCATTTAAAAATGGAACTATAGATTTAGATCAGGAACTGTTTTAAGAGACAAGGTACGAGTAGGGAGTTGACAAAATACTGGATGGACTAGAGATTTTCAAAATACAGTGACATACATTGGGCCCTACCATTTGAATCGAGTGGGTTTGCCTAGCATGTTGGGCATGCCACCAGATGGTTATATTTCTCACTCTTTGCCTGTCTAGCTCTTGTGTGTGTTTTGAACAACTAATACTACCGCCAAGGCCTGAACGGGTCGGGTCGCAACTTCTCTTTGAGAAGACGAAGCATACCGCGACTGAAGAAGACTCCCAACGACGTAAGCTTTCTTCTTCCCTCCCTTTCTAAAAGAAATGTATTCGTTGTTGCAAAAGTTCTAAGAGCTCTCCAAAGTTCCGCGTTGTTAAGAAACCCGCCATTGTTAGAGAATTCCCGAGAGCTCTTGCGGCACAGAGCTCCAGTTCGGACGCCCGTTCAGAGCTTAGGGCATTCCGACCTACCCGTTTTATATGTGGGATTCGGTTTTATTTTTCGGGTTATTCTTGTTTCCAGAGATCTATTACACAACGGAATCTGTACATTCGGCGGAGCTTATATTAAAACCCCGTCTCTCTTTTTCAGTTTTCTGAATTTCAAAGAAGATGGTGGAAGCGAGGAACAGCAAGGTCTCGTCACAATGGTGGTGGTTCGAGACTCAGCAGAACAGCTACAAGGATCGCACCCCGTGGCTTCAATCTACGGTTGATGGTAATTTCTTGAGTTGTTATGGGTGTGTTTGGAATGCGAAAATGCAGTGGAAAGAATATAGGGAATCAATATAAGAGATTGGGAAACATTTATTTGGGAGGCAAATAAAACATGGTTTCAGCCCTAATGAATTTAGTTTTGCCAATTAGTTCTTAATTGTTCTATGCTATAATTACAAAGCAATCTAAAAATGTATCTAAAACTTAATAGCTTCCATCACAGTTCATCTTTATTTGAGTTAAAACCATACATAATGGAGCTGGGGGCTGTTTATTTTTCTTATTTTTCTTTTAAATGTCTTGATTAAGTGATCTTTGTATAAGGTCGGAACTCGGAATAGTAAATTAGTAATGGGTTATTTAGACATTTTTAGACTGTATGTCCAATCAATGTATAAGTCACTGTTGATATACAATGCTTTCAAAGGTGTGGACTTTATTTGAATTTAGAAAACATACCCCACGAAGCATTTTGTCTTTGGACCGTTGGGGGATTTGACTTGCCCAACATCTATGATCTCTATCTGCCCTACTTGTGATATTAAAATCCTGAAATAGTTAAAGGCGCATTTGAAAATATAACTCTTACCTTTGTTTTTAAAAAGCCTAATCATTGGAATACATTAAGTTAATGAAGTCTAATTGAATGGATTCAATCCAAATGAACTTTTCTTTTCGAAAAACCTAGATTCCTAGTCTCCAAGAAAGCCATCAATAATAAATTATGTCACATCTGGTTATATTTTTTCTTGAACTTGAAACTGATATTAGTTTGACCAAAAAAGATTCTTATATCTCTTCCCGTCCCACAAATATGGCTCTGTTTGACTTTGTGGTCAAAGATGTTTATATCTTACCGATAATAGTTTATAATATGAAAGTAATATATGAAAGTGTTATTTTTAAGTAATACACTCCTAAAACTACAAAATGTATGATCTACATGGACCATGGCTTCCTCAGAAAATTTTGTATTTACACAAAAAGAAAATTACACAAGGAAAAAATTCAACTAACTTGAGGTGGGGCTGAACTCGGGGGCAACCCATGCACAGACCCAGCCCAAGTTTAGTTTTGGACCTTTTGGTAAAATGTTATCCTGTGTGTATACATTTTTTATGAATGATTATTTTCCAGGCTCACCCAAAATTCAAAAAATATACTGTGCTGGCTGCACACATGGATAACACTAATTTTATCCTAAATAAGAAATGGTGCAAAGATGAGGTTGCTCTAGTTAGTATATACATGAGCCCAAAATCAAAGATTTTCGATCGCGATTCTGATTTGTTTTTCTTTTAAAAATGTTCAATATTTCTGTTTAGAACGATTCAATTGTGTTGAGGACCAGACTTTGAACTGATCCAAACTCCGACACCAGTTAACCCAAACTCTAGTTAAAATTCTTCAAACTGGACACCTAAACTGATTGGACCAGAACATGATGAGGCCTTGCTTGCATCCATCCTTGACCCCTTAGAAAAAGTTTTGGGTGTGCCGTTGCGTACGCCCCTGCACATGTATTTTAGAATAATAGATTGGTTAATTAGAGTTACTAAGCTGGAGTTGGAGATTGTTTTGCAGTTTGCTTGCAATGCTTCTGCAGTAGCTCATTATATAATTTCTAACCTGCTTTTAATGTGCCTTATGCTGAAATGCTAAATCAACTCTGCTGCTCTCAGAGTTGGATAAAAGGATAAATGCAATGTTAAGGATAATCGAGGGAGATGCAGATTCGTTTGCACGGAGAGCGGAGATGTTTTACAAGAAACGGCCTGAGCTCATCAACATGGTTCATGACTTGTACAGGGCCCACCGCTTACTAGCTGAAGGATACGATCAAGTGAAGTCTGAATCTGGTGCCCGCATCTTATCCCCATGGCAATTCCCACTGAGTAGTAACTTCAAATATCAGTCTGAGAAGTCGGTAAGCTCATCTGATATGACTTATGATAGCCACTCGGAAGAAACATTTGACCTTGAGGAGTCTGAGTTGTCTGATGTTGAGGACCCTGCTGAACCAGAAGGCGCCCAAATTCACAAGGAAAATGGAATTGAGAAAACTTCAGTCTGCAATGGCGAAGTGGAGAAGCTGAAGGAAGAGATCGAGAGACTAAACGAAGAGAGCAGAATTCAAAAGGAACTGCTGGCACAGAAGGATGAAGAAAAACGAGAAGCCATTAGACAACTCAGTTTGGCTATGGATTTCTTAAGGGAAGAAAATACAAGTCTAAAGAAGGAAGTCTACTTGATGAATGTTGGTAGGGAAGCCCAACAACCTCCCATGATGAAGGTGGCACCAAGAGGAGGGTTCTGGAGGAAGTTCTTCCCTTCTGCTCATCCAAAAGCAGAAGTTAGTCTGGTCACTTTCTAGATTCCGGGTTTGATGCATATTATGCTAAGTGTATTGCAGCATGTAGTATATAATCTATAGAGGACACTATGCTTGTTCTGGTCTTTGTTTCGTTAGTGTGGATTCCCTGTAATGTATGCTAGCAGAAGATGTTAACTGATCCCTATATATTTTTGCTTCTTATGCTTCTTTTATATGTTGGGTGAATTCCCAATATCTATATTATTGCTTCATATTGTGTTCCAACTTTAGGTTTTTGGCTTCTCTACTGTCTTTATGTAATTGCGATTAGGCTTGGACACTGTCTTGTTTTGGTCCTGGTTTGGTCCCAGTGAGGGGAACCTTAGCCCGCTGGTAACACGGTTCTTTCTAGGTGCAGTTTACCAGGTCGTTCCGGGGCCAGTTCTGGGTAGTTTTGGATCCAGTTTTGGGCGGTAGTGGACCGGATTTTAAAACAATATATAAAACTCAAATAAGGAATTCGGACTGGAGCTGGTCGATCTGGTGCCTATTTTTTAGTAACCAGAACCCACTCATTCCAATGGCTGCAATCAATGGGGCAATATAGCTGTTTGCCTGTTTCCAACGGCTTGCTTATGGATGATAAAAAGAGAAGAGTAGCCCTCGGGGCCAGAACATGGACCTGAACTGGTCGATCTGCTGCCTATGTTTGGGTAACCCGACTCAGGGCACCTGTTATAGTGTTTGGGTTCGAAAATGGATCAGTCATGGACAGAAAAACTGCTGGTCGAAGTCCTACTTGGGCCGGAACGAGGATGATGTCCAAGCCCATCAGGATTCAACAAAACTAATCCTAGCATCACCAATCCTCTAAGATGCTGCACAAAAAAAATTGTTTCATCTTGGATTCCGCAATCTTGAGTGCATGAGAAATAAATGAGATTTCATCACTAAAAGCCATACGGAATGAATAAAATGTGAAATACAAACCCCTTGAAGCAATGACAAAGTGTGCAGAATAGATATTACTGAAGCATATGAAAAAACTGAAAAAGGCAAATAAAAACAGAGAGAGATATAACTAATAAAAGAACAATGCACTGAAAAACAATGATGGAAAAAAACTGAAGCTTCTCACATAATGTTTGAACTTCTATATATATACACACCAGACCAGACAGAGTTATGGAATATCCAATATAGTGTCACACACAGAACAATGACTGGTGCATGAAGAGCAAGAGAGGAGGAAACTGCTGGGTCTGGAGAAAGGGCCATTGGAAGAGGGACTGGACCTGCTGCTGCATCATCATCTGCTAGGGGAGGGCTGGGGCTTGAAGGGATTGTGGGCTGTGAAGAAGATTCTGTAGGAGCAATGGAGGGAAAAAGTGGTGATATATCTGGAGATGAGGTAGGAGGTGAAGATGACAGAGGAAGAAATGGGAGCATTGATGGTGCTGCTGAGATAGTGGATGTGGGAAGTCCCTGCTGTGAGAGAGACTCTGGGAGCTGGAGAATCAAGAAAATCATGAACAAATTCATGAAAAGCCTTGTGGAAGCCATAAATGATGTGTGGGATCAATACCACTTTACCAGTATGATGGGGGAATGAAAATGAGGCTGTAGAAATGGGAATTATTAATGAGTAGACAGCTGGTGGTGTGTGAGTGTGTCTGAGGTTAGAGGAAAAAGATTGATAAAGGAGGGCAAAAGAAAACACATGAAAGCAGAAGTGGGTGTTTCTGGCCTTTGGATTTTGGCGTTTGGCAGCCATCCATCCTCTGTGAAATTCCTGTCATCTGCAACCACCGACCACCCATTTTCCACTTCGTATCCACTTTTTAACTGTTGTGTTACTTTGTTAAAGATGAATTTGCTTAAAGGAATGCAGATTGAATTTTCTTTTCCAGTATATTCTTTTCTTAATTTTCCTAAGAAAGATATTATTTTTGCATTGATCTTTTTTTAAAAACACAGCCTGTTCATTGATATACTCAATTGAAATGATCTATAGTGATTTTGTTAGTTATTATACCATCTCCTCCCTTTGGTAAGTCAACAAATCCCATATTGACCGTCGTTTCACTCACTTTGCCACGTGTATATTTTGTGAAGCATCCAATTCAAAGATATATTCCCATTAGCTGAATGTCAAATAATTAAATGACTTTCTAAACCCAAGTGAAGTTTTACATGTGGAATTCGGACCGAAATTCTTTATATCATATTTACTACTAGTAGTAATTAATTACTCCCTCCATCCCGTTGGAATGTTCTCGCTTTCCTTTTTTAGATGTCCCGTTGGAAAATTCCAATTTTCCTAAATGGAAAGTTATCCTACATCAAAACAGGGTCAAACAGTGCAAAACAGTGTCAAACAGGAGAAAAGGATGGATTTACGGGAGTTTCATGCGTCCATTCCCAAAATACGAATGTCAGAATTAGGGTATGAATTTACGGGAAACGGAGTTGGCTAATCCGACTTTTCCTAGGTTTTCTAAGTTGGACGCAAAGGTAAGTCAGGACTGTCAGAATCTCTTTTTTCGGATTCTCCTAATCTGACTTTGGGTTTTATTTTGGGTGAAAAACGGATTTGGTGAATCTGAAATTTTCAAAACCAAATAAAAGGAAATTCGGATGTCAGGAGTGTAAGTAATGCAGCCATGTTGTCAGGAGTGGTACTGTGGCAATGAAATTCGGATTTCACTAATCCGAAATTTGAAGCCTCCCGGATTGGCCAGAACAAACTTACGCGGATCGTGCTTCTTCAGTTCATTTTTCAACCGTAGGATTTAACAAACTCATCCCAATTGTCCACTGTTTTGCACGGAAATCCATACTCCCAATGTCAAACTTAACCTATTTAAATCACTTCAACATCATATTCAGCCTACTACCATAAAAATAAATTTAGTTACAAAAAACTATTGAGTGTTCTTGCTAATTCTATTCTCTGAGTTTTTCAAAGAAAGGTTAGAATTCTAATTATATATTTACTCTTTACCGTTAATTTTTTGTACTGGTTGTGTTATGTCAGCCTGAATATTTCGAAAATCTTAATATTAATATGTAATTAATCTTAATTGCTATTAAGATTGTTGATATATGTCATACTAAATATATAACGATAGAAATAATTAGCCCACAACTTATAATTATTTGTAGTGCTTCCTTGACAGTAGTTAATTTATGTTGATAATGTAAGCACATTTACTGTTTTTCAATTACTCTAATTATTGGTTCACTAATATTTGTTACTAATGTATTAAATACTCCCCCCGTCCCATAAAAAATTTCCCACTTTTATTTTTGGACCGTCCCAAAAAATTCTTCCCACTTACCATTTTTGGACAATTTGTGTGGTTCACATTTATTTGACCTTTTTCTTACACAACTACAACCACACATTTCCACTTTATTCCACTTTCTTAATCTCTGTGTCAAGTTAAAGTGGGAAGAATTTTCTAGGACAGAGGGAGTAATAAATTAGTGTATATGGTAATTTGAGACTACGTTGCGATTACAATTTAAATTTAGTTTAGTTAGTTGAACATTTTAATTTAGTCATCACTGCTTATTTCCAAATAACATTATACTACGTAATATAATTTAGTTCATACTCCGTAACATTTATTATAATTGAGCCATAAAAGCGAACATAAATTATAATTACCCTCAAGTTTGCTTGATGCACCCACGGCTTCATCAACTTGACTCCATAGAAGATCATCACCAGGATGAACAACTTCATTGCTGACCCATTCATTGTCCCATTGGAAATCTTCAAATATTAAAGGGTTGAAGTTTGTTCCTTCTTCACGCCGCTTATGAAATCTGGTTGCTATCTTCCGATTATATTGAATAAAAACCAAGTCATTCAACCGCTTATGCTCTAACCTGCTTCTTCTTTTTGTATGAATCTAAAATAAAGATAAAAATATATTTGATAAGTGTTTTGATTTAATTAGTTAAAATCTTGTGTAATTTAAAAATTGTAGTTAGTATTCAAAATTGTAAGTCTATTACTTACAAACTCAAAAGTGCTCCAATTACGCTCACAACCAGAAGAGGTACAACAGAGACTAACTATGCGTTTTGCGAACGATTGCAGCTCAACAGCAAGTCCACCAAAAGAATCCCACAAATCAACTATAGATTAATCACAAATAAAATATTATTTAATTTTTAAAATATTTAAACTAAATTTTAAAAATAATAAAAGTATCACTTACGAGGACTCTTAGATTTTTGTTGCCTAATCGCGAGCTGCTTTGCAAAACTGCCTCTCAATTTGTCATAATATGTCGCTTGATCACTTATCTTGGCCTGCAATGTTTCATCAGTGACCATCTTTTCAAGCACATCGTTAAACATTGATCGTTGCTTTGATGTTGATGTGGGATCAGTTAGTTTGAGATCAAAATATTTAGACGGATTTAAAAACAAAGCTGCCCCGTATAATTTGACCTCCATCTGGACTTCCCATCATGTCTCAATGATCCGAACTAGGCTTCTCAAAACTCTAGTCTTATTTTCAAATGAATCGCAAATTTTTTTCTTGGCACAATCCATGGCTAGTGAAAGCTCTGGCATAGCCGGTTTCTCATCAGCATCAACTATCCTCAAGACAATTAAAAGTGGTTGTGAAGCTCGTATGCAATCTTCCACTGCACTCCGGTATCTAACAGACAACACAATCTCACTAACCTTCTTTCATGCTTTTGTGGCAGCCAATTTATATCTACTCCAATCCAGACCGCTAAATTGATTTCTCAATGCTTCTCTGTGTTTATATAGAGATTGCAAAGTGAGAAACGCTTTTGCAAATCGAGTAACTCCAGGTCTTACAAGATCCTTCCCACCCGTCTTTTGTCTCATTGAATGGAGGATTCTTGTATGCCGATAAATGAAAGTAGTCACACATCTTGCTTTTTCAATGTGGGGTTTGAAATCGACTAATTTACCGATATCCTCCAACATCAAATCCAAATAATGTGCAGCGCATGGAGTCCAATAAAGCGTGGATATCTTGTGCTCTAGAAGCTTTCCCGCAACCTTATAGTTAGAGCCGTTGTCTGTCACCACTTGCACTACATTGTCTTTTCCAACTTCTTCAATTTTTTTCTCAAGCAACCCTGCTAGCAATGTTGCATCTTGAAATTCGCCTGATGCATCAACCGAGTCTAGGAAAAAAGTACCTTCTGGACTATTGACAAGGAAATTAATCAAGTGGCGATTCCTTCGGTCAGACCATCCATCAGACATGAGTGTGCACTCGTATTCCTTCCAAGCAAGTTCATGTTTTTCTCTGAGATTCTCTGTTTTTTTCTTTGCTTTTTCAAGAAGTGGTACACGCAACTCATGATAGCTAGGAGGTTTAAGTCCTGGTCCAAACTGTCCAATTGACTCCACCATGATCTCATAACTCCTGGAGTTTGCTGCATTAAAAGGAATGTCGTTTTCATAAAAAAAATCAGCAATGTGCATGAAGACCCTCTCTTTCTCCTCCTTGCTTTTTGTGCATTGTTCTAGTGTAGTTTGAGTGGGGCCTTTCGTATGTCTTTCATCAACAACCTCCTCGGGAGTTTTGCGAATGATGGAGGCAATTGACTTGTTTTGTTTGGGCATTTTTGGTGGAACATTAAAGAATTGTGAAGCAGCATTTTTTCTCTTGGTTGTTGTCCCGGAACTCGGTTGAGAAGTTGAAGTATCTATTTGAGTCAAAGGTACTTCAACATCATCTTGATCGTAATCATCTTCAACGTGGATCGGTTTTTTTCTTGATTTTCTCATTAGATATTCTCGCATCTCCCTCATGAGTTCTCTTGTCGTATGAGGACATACAGCAACATCTCCATATCCGCCTGCTAAATGTTGCTTCAATCTCTTTATGCCAGAATGCATTTGCTTATTACAATGCTGACATTGGACGAGGTCTTTATTGTTCAAGTCTGGCCAAAATCCATGGTGCCACCCTGGGTCATCAGATTTCGCTCTTCTAGCAGGATCTTTAGATGGATCATACACGGGTTCACCTTCATTGTCCGCCATAACTAATATGTATACAAAATTAGCTTAAGATAATGAAAACTTAACAATACACCCAACCAATATAAAATTAATAATAAATCAATATACACTGGGCCTAGTCCGTTTTGTGTATCGGCCCAACGGCATTTTGTACGCCCAAGGGTCTTATCTATATTTGATGTATGTTATATTGGGCTTAGCCTGCTATTCTCTAGATCAGCCTGGTTGTCTTTATAAATAGACTCTAAGTTGAATTCATTCATACTTGACACTTTTTCTCTCTACTTTGTTCATTCTCTCCTTCTTCTCTCTAGATCTAGGTATTATAGATCATCAATACCCTTCTAATATGGGTGTAGGAACAAATATAGCTATGTTCTATTTTTTGGAACAAATATACCCTCAAAGTTTTACGTAGAAGTGCATATATACCCCTGAGTTTTGAAAAGGTGCAAAAATAAATTTACCCTCAAATTTACCCTTTTTGACTTTAAATAGATAAAATAAATTTCAAGACACACCAAAAATAAATTATAAATTTGAAATTCAAAAATAAAATAAAAAAAAGAAATCTACTTTGTCCAATTCTCCCTTTTATTATTTTTTATATCACAATTTGATATTGTTAGTATACAATATT